GTACAAATGTCTCTTTTGAAAATGTGGGCATGGCTCAAAAAATACAATTACCTCCTGTTGACTTAAAATAACAATAAAAAAAGTGACAAATGGTATTTTCTCAAAATGTTCAGGTTTAATTTTTTTTCTCTCTCAAAATGTTCAGGTTTAAATCTTGGTAGCTCATAAGGATGAGGACGGGACCACAACAATAATCTCATTAATTTTTCTGATTGGCGAAGGAAAAAGAATAATAACATAACTAGCACAATGTCATTTTCTCCGATCCACTACCTAAAAACAAAGGAGTGATAAGTAACATGCAATAAGGAAATGCTGCACGCCACATATCCTTGAGAGAAATGTACCTCTAGTATTTTCAGATACATCTTAATTAGTAATATAATTATTTCGTATTGTCGACATTTTAATAAGTAAGATGTGGTAATTTAGCAACTAACGTCATTTTCTATTCACTAACTAGCTAAAACAAAAGGATGATTAGTAATAAGTAACTAAGCAAGGAATAACTTTACGCTACATAGTGGAATACTACCTAATTACATGATTTGTTAATTCTATATTTCGATAATTTAAGGTCAAATGCATCCAAACCAATCATAAGTTAGATATGTGTTAGCTTTCTTTTCTCTTTTACAAAAAAGGAGGAAAATTAAATCAAAAGCTAGTTGGTAGGATGGAAAAATGATTGATTGGCAGGTTGGATAGGTGATTATCTAATAAATTATACCTTTATTTCCTTTGAGCTAATTGTTGATGCATGTGGTAAGGATTGATCTTGAGGATAAAATACTTAAATTCTTAAGCTTTATACTTGATATGTACATCAAAGATAATTACAAAAACAAATTGTAAATGAAAACATAGCATATGAAAATTGGTTGACAGTGGAGCATTTGCATTTCTTTAATGCACATGCATGAACCTTTATATGGATTTCCTTGTCTTTTATTTATTTTAAAAGTTGGCATAATCGCATCTTTTAGTGAGGAAAAAAACAAACGACGACAATAACATATCAAACTTCATGTTTCATAGTTCAGATTTTTTCAAAATCAGAAAAAAGAAAAAAAAAAAAAAACAATGTCTATTCAACCACCCTGTCACATGATCAAAGTCTCCTAGCTAGCATACGAAATTTTGATTTCAATTTTTTAACTCTTATCTAAAGAAAAGAAAAGAAAAAAGTTTATTTACTTGTGGCCTTTCAAATTACAAGATTATGATAGTAATATTTCTACTTTTTCATAATTGGACTATTAGTCTTTTCATTTTAGGTAATTTGTACAGATGATCCCTAACTTCTTTAGTTAATGATAGTTTAGTCTTTAATCTTTTTTTTAGTAAAATGACTCTCAACCTCTTTAAACGGGTACAATTTAGTCATTTTCGTTAAAGCCCGTCAAATTTTTAACAGCACTTGTCACGTGACCCTTTTACGAGGGTTATTTTCGTAAAATCATGAGTTTCTTTTTTTTTTAAATAAATTGAAAACTAAGGCCCCATTCATTTCGCTGATTCGAGTTTATAATTCGAGTTTTGCTACAGTAAAAAGCTCTCACAAACAATCACATCTAACTTTTTTGCTACAGTAAAAAGCTCTCACATAAAATCACAGCTCAACTCAAATTAAAAACTCGAATCAGCGAACTAAACGGGCCCTAAAAATATATCTTTCTCCCTCTTCCTGGGTTTGTGATTTGCAGAGGCGGCCCCTTGCCTCAATCGAGTTCTCATGGCCAAGCACTTGCTTAATGCTTCTGTTGGTTGTTGTGATATGTCTCCTAGGAGTAAGAGAAGCTTCAACTGGAGTCAATCTTGGAGTTTTGGCAATCGTTGAAAGTTTTGTTGTTACTGACTTCTCAATGTCATACTCGTCATGGAAACTTCCAATGGATACTTCACTGAACTTATGTTCCAAAAAACTTGGGAATCTTTGCGCCATCTTGGAAGAACATGATGAGTCTTGCTCAGTTCCAGATATACTGAGATTTAAGGTCTTATATGTAGTAAAGAACGACATGTAAGCGTCTCACTCGAAGCTTCTTCTAAGATCTAGCTGCACGAGCATCAATATCGTCCTTTATCAGAGGCTCATAAGAAGAAGAGAGATGCTCAAACCCTAGACATGGAATACCAGAGATCGAACAACTTCCAAAGGTTTAATCCGATTGAAACCACAGTCAAACTATAGAACGGAAACGAAAGAGATCTGAGAAAGATGTGATTACCATGAATGTCTGTCTAGGGGCGGCAAGATTGTGCGGCGTGAAATGGGTTTCCGCCTTTTGCTCAAAAGGAGCATCAGGAAAAAAAATCACCCATTGGAGGTCAGATCATCAGGGATGGGGCTCGTCAGGTCTGGCCTGGTCGGCGATGAGGCTCGCCGGAGGTGGAGACGAGGGAGAAGAAGGCCATGGGTTTGAGGTTTTGATAGCATTTTTATCTTTTAATTGAAAAAAGAATGCACGTCATGCTCACATACGGGAATCTGTTAGAAATTGGATAAAAATGACTAAATTACACCCGTTTAAAGAGGTTGGAGGTTGATTTGTTAAAAAAAATTAAGAATTAAACTGTCACTTACTAAATAAGTTGATGACCATTTATACAAATTACCCTTTCATTTTCTTTTTAAGGAATTGTAGACTTGTTAAAAATGCTTATAAATATATCTTATGTCCAATTTATTGTTTTGTACAAAAAAAAAGAGTCCAATTTCTTCCAAATTTTGGAGGTTTATTAATGAGATAACAACTGCAGTTGATTGTCAATTGTGCTCGTCAAATTGTAAGATGGGTTAACACTTTATTTTTTGAATTTTGTTTCTAACATTTGTTGTCTCTAAAACGTATTTGTATTTGAGACTCAAAAAGTGTCAAGTTTTCGCAAAATGTATTACGTCGTTACCAAAAAAGAATGTTTTAGCAATTAGACAATGCTCGAAACAGTTGCGTGATGATATTCCTGAAAGTGGGTCTTTTATGACACGTTTAGTTCATAAGTTTAGAATTATGATTCATGATTTTGATTTTTAAAATTTAAATTTTTTGTGAGAGAATGACATTGTAGAGAATAAAAAACGGAGACATTGTAGAGAATCAAGAACGGACCCTTGAAACAAACATCTCATTACTCTATTATTACCCTTAAGTTTACTTGTTAAATTTTGAATTAATCTCACTTAATCTATTATAGTAGAATGTATATTAAAAATATTTTTTCATTTGTTTTCAACATAAATTTTAAATAGAAGAAATTAAATGAGATAATTTTTTTTGTCCTTTTTAACAGAAATTATAACAAAAAGGATTAAGTGAGATTAATTTAAAATGTATGATATTTGTCGCTTTTAATAAAAATTCTAACAAAAAATATTAAGTGATATTAAGGTATGTTTATTTTACATAAGAGAAAAATACTGTAATAAAAAAAATTAAATTTAAATTTTTATGAGAGAAAATATTATTGTAATATGATTTGAGTTATAAAATAAAACTTTTTAAAGTTTATATTATAGGGATAAAATTAAAACGAGCATAAAGTTCGAGGATGACAAGAAAAATAAATAGAAAAAGCATAAGAGACAAAGAAAGAACGATTTTTGCTCCCAAAAAAAAAGAAGAAAGAAAGGACGATTTAAGCGCCGTCAAAATACAGCCGTCAAAAAAGGCTTTTTTGTTTTTTTTTGTTTTTTCCTTCTCTCAGCAGCAAAAATCCTCAGTTCAGCCAAAGCACAGACCTTGCATTGCATGACAACGTGGTGACAGCCTTTTCCTAGCTGTCACGACCCCACTTCTCCACTATCTTTTTTTTTTTTTCTCTCTCTCTTGTTTCCTCTTTCGTTTTCACTTTATCCCAAATTCCCAATGTGTGTGTGTGTTTTTTTAATCTCTCCGATATATAAAGATTTATTTTATTTTATTGATTTAAATTTAAAATTTAAATTATATTATAATAAAAAAATTTTAAAAATAATTACATTTAATTTTTTTACTATAATAAAAAAATTTTATATAAAATAATATCTAAACTCAAATTAAAAATTTAAATTAACGAATTAAACGGGTTTAAAAAATAAAAGAAAAGAAAAAGGCGACAAGATTGCAAAATACTGCTCTTTGTGAATTATTGAGAACAAATGCTGCATGTCACTGTAACCACCACTATTTGAACATGTACTTATAACTCTAATAGGATGCAGCATGCACTTAAATTCTCAGGCATTAGATGAAAAAAAAAAAGTGATATCGTTCTTTAAAATGTTTTCAACCAATAACTCATTATATTCTTGTGTTCGTGTAAATATTTAACACTTTAGTTTACTCAAATATAACGGTTAATGTTATATGTGTTGCATTTCCTTTTTTTAATGCTACACTTAAATAATCTGAGTGTTACAAACACAAATGAATGATATTATACAAAATGTAAAAAAATAAATAAATTACATTTATTAGACTTTCTGACTGCCGGACTTAAAGACATTTTTTATATATATTTTGCAGGTGAGTTCTTTCTTTCTATCATTTAATTATTATGAAAAATTAAGATGCAAGTAAATCTCAAAAGTTATTGTTACAATTTTTTAATTGTAATTACAAGTATAATTTAATGCTAAATTTCATAGCTAATTCTATTATCTCCCACCCTTTCTGAAGAGTACATGTAAAAAACGTAAAATTTACCATAATTTTTTTTTTATGGTAGAATGTACCATAATTTTCACCGTACGTACTTTCTAAAGAAATGTATTTCTCTGAGCATTGAGAAAGAATATCCAATCCTCGATTTATCCCCACAATCCGAAAACAAAAGTAGAAATAAAAAAATAAAAAAAATAAAAAGAACAGAGGAAAGAGTAGTGAGATCAGAGATATAAAGAGGAAATGGCCAAAATAACTAACGACATAAAAGTGAAAACCGAAACGTTAAAAACAGCAGCCGACATCCATTTTAGACTCCATGAACAAGTAATTCACAAACAACATAGACATCCTCAAACCTCTCCATTTCCCACTTCTCTCAAAAAAAAAAAAAATCAACAAAAAAGAAGAAGATCAATGGATCCATGTCCATTTGCGCTGCTAATAATAGAGTCACTGGCACTGAAGCTCCCACAGGCGACTAGACCGGCCGGTCCAGGAGTCCACCCATCAGCCACGCCCTGCTTCTGCAAGCTCCGCCTCAACAACTTCCCTTCCCAGACGGCTCTCCTCCCTCTCTCCACCTCCTCCGCCGCCGACTCTTCCCCCGACTCCGCCACCTCCTCCGCCAGCTTCCACCTCGACTCCGCCGCCATCCGCCGCCTCTCCTCCCGCCGCCACCTCACCCTCCGCCTCTCCGTCTACACTGGCCGCATGGGCCGCACTTGCGGCGTCTCCTCCGGGAAGCTCCTCGGCCGCCTCCACGTCCCCCTCGACCTCACTGGTGCCGACTCCAAGCCGGCAGTTTTTCAGGCCGGGTGGATGAAGCTCGGTGGAGACGCCGCCAGGCTGCACATCGTCGTCCGGTCCGAACCGGATCCTCGTTTCGTGTTCCAGTTCGGCGGCGAGCCGGAGTGTAGCCCAGTGGTGTTTCAGATTCAGGGGAGCATACGGCAGCCCGTTTTTAGTTGCAAGTTTAGCGCCGACAGAAATTCAAGATCCCGGTCAGCAATTTAATTTAAAATTAATTTGTCTTTTTTTTATGGGTAATTTAAATGTTAACTCTCAAAGAAATACTATCCAAATTCTTAGATGTCACACTACTGACACTGAATTTTCTAAACGTTGCATTAATGTCATTTAAAAGTTAAAAAGCGTTAAAGCACCATCAGTATTAAACATCACTTTTTTTTATAAAAAAAATCTTGCTTATAGGCCTCGTACTTCGGAATCTACTTTTATTAATTGATCGGTGTTTTATAGCATTATTCTTAAAAATTTGAGGAGTAAAATGAGATAAAATAGTATTTTTCGAGGTAAAATTGAAACTAATCTATTTTTTTATCGGATATTTAGCATTGTTCTTTACTATACTCTGTGTTCAGTTCACTTGCTTTGGGTTGGTAATGGTGGACAGTGTCATTTTACACAGTTTAATTTCTATTCTGGTGGAAAATTTACTTATTTGTTTTCCTTTAATTTTCTTTTTCTTCTTATTTTATTTTTCCTTTTTTGGGTGTGGATTACGCAAAGCGGTCGTCAATTTTTCTTAGCTGGCTTTATCGACCAATCCACATGCCTGGTTGGGCTCTTAATAGCATAAAGTTTTGCTTCAGTTTTTACGTTTCATTCATGCAAGTTTGCACTTTTCATGTGTCATACTTTCGTGGTCGTTTTAAAGATTTTTTGGTTAATTTTTGGTTTGTTTCGCTCACCATTGGGGGAAAAATTAAAACATGACATCAAAGTCATATATCATAATGAAGGAGAGTGCTAGTTTTTGCTTGCGATAGTGATTTTAGGCCTTCTTTTCTTGTTTTATGACTTGTGTTCAGCATAGTTGATGAGTCCCTATCGGCCTCCTATCCACTAATTAACATTTTTTTTTTTTTTTTTCAGAATCGGTAACGTTTCATCTGTTTTGCTTTTTCTTTTTGTGTACTTCCACTCTGGCCACTTTAATTACTTTGCTTGACACAGCATTTTCATTTAGGAATCAGTTTTTTTTTATATATATGTAAAAAGAAAAAGTCACAAATATCTTAGGTCGGTGAAACTAATATTATCTTGGTAGGATTTGTCTCTTATTTATCTTCCCCACATTGAAACTTTTTCAAGAATCTTAAACAGATGATCTGATGCATATGATTCGTATCTGCAAGTTCTGATTTTGTTCACTCACTGTTTTTAAATTCTTATATGCAAATGTCGTGCACTTTATATCAGTGTGTCATACCAATAATTAATTAGATTTAATTGAACCCCAACTGGAAGGCAAAAAAAAAAAAAAAAGAACAGAACAATGTGTCAGCCACTTTCCCATATATATGTGAGACAAATCTCTCTAAATTGTGAACAGAATGACCACAATTTAGAATCCCTTCCCATGTGCAAGGCCAACTTCCATAGTTTGACATTCCTAATTATTTTCATTAATTATTCTTTTCCTAAATTTACAGATAAATTGTTAGACTATAGCTCCAACCACATTCATATCATTAAATTATTTTTGTTACATAACCAACAAATCAATTCAGATTCTCATCTTGTCTGAATTCTTCCAAAAACAGATCACTTCCATCAGATTTCACCCTCAACAGCAACAATAGAGGGTGGACGAGGACCTTCTCAGGCGAGAGGGAGAAGCCCGGGAGGGAAAGAAAAGGCTGGATGGTTACAATCCACGACCTGTCGGGCTCGCCGGTGGCGGCGGCATCGATGATCACCCCCTTCGTGCCGTCCCCGGGGACAGACCGCGTGTCCCGGTCCAACCCCGGCGCGTGGCTCATCCTCCGCCCCCATGGCTTCTCCCTCAGCAGCTGGAAGCCCTGGGGCCGCCTCGAGGCCTGGCGCGAGCGCGGCCCCGTTGACGGCCTCGGGTACAAGTTCGAGCTCGTCGTCGCCGACGCAAACCACTGCGGCCCCACCACCGGCAACATCCCCATCGCGGAGGCCACCATGAGCATGAAAAAGGGCGGCCTGTTCTCCATCGTGAATTCCAGTACGAGATCGCCCGTTAAAGGGTTCGTCATGGGGTCCACCGTGGAAGGCGAGGGCAAAGTGAGCAAACCGGTCGTCCAGGTCGGGGTTCAGCACGTGACGTGCATGGCCGACGCTGCATTGTTCGTCGCGCTCTCTGCCGCCATTGATCTCAGCATGGACGCTTGTCGTTTGTTCTCGCATAAGCTGAGGAAGGAGCTTTGCCACGACGACCATGATTACTTCTCTTAAATTATAAAAAGTAGTAATAGTTTTGCTGAATTCTCATCTCGTTCTGATCTGATCTGATCTGATATGGTCTGATCTCCCCTGTTGCTGTGATAGCCAAATTATGGTTTGAGCGCAGAAAATAGATATACACACACATATATATATATATATATACATGTGAATTCTTTGGTTCTTTTTCCCTCCTTTGATTCTTTTGGACCAGATTTTTGTCTCATTTTATTCGGGAGTCGTAGTACTAGAACTGTGACGAAGTGTGGCCTCTGTTCTGGGTTTTGGGTGTTGGAGAGTGAGAGTGGCTTCGTGGTTTTGATTCTGCGATAGTAGAGTAGAGTTTTTTGTCTTTTGATTTTTACGTTGTATACTTGGGAGATTTTTTTTTTTTTTTTCGTTTTTTTGTTTTCTATAAATTATATTCATATGTACAAGTCTAAAGCTTACAATATCAAATGTACAGAGACTGGGAAATGTGAATTAGCTGTTTACATTTGTAAGTTGTAACGATTGCTTTTATCTTTTATTTAATTCATGTGCTTCCAGTGTATTTGAATTTCCCATTTTCTTCTTGTCTGGGTAACTTCGTAGGCTTTATTAAAAAAAAATTAATATAGATATATATAGATGAGGTTTTTATGGTTATGTTTTCATTGATAATTATCATTAAATATAAAAATCTAATGAGGTGATAAAAAACCAGTTATATATATATATATATATATATTTTATGGTGTTTCAACTTTTATCTTCCTTTTTACTTTGTGATATTTGGACTTTAAAATGATTTCAAGTGTACGCACGACTGCATGGGTGTATATACGTGCGTGCATGTGTATGGAGGGCTTATGAAATTGAGTGGTATTACTTTCTGTTCAAAAATTTTGGGGTCTGATTGTATACTTTCATTTTTTTGTTTCTCTCTTTTAACTTAAAATGATCTTTTTTTTAATGTATTTATACTACCAAGGTGATTAAAGAAGACAAACCCATAATAAAAGCAGGATTTGTGTTTTAAGAAAAAAAAAGGAAGTAAATAAGATTTGGTGCAAAAAAAAAAAAAAAGAAGTAAATAAGATTTGGTATTCAATATATCAGATTTTGGTAATCAACTAATCATCAAAACAAGCTCCCTCACAAAGAACATAGAATTGAATAATTTATTCCTCTTTTAATGGAAAACAAAAATCAGCAACTGAGTCCAATTCCTTTTAAATTTGTTTTTTTTGTGCTCTAATTTCAATTGAAAAAAAGAGACAAATACTCTTTAAAATGCACCATTTACATTTGATTAATATCATTTAGTTAAAAAACTTAGTCAAAAGAGTATTAATCAAGAGTAAAATGGTAAAAATCTTATAACAATGTGTTCAAAGGTGAATTCACCAATATTTTCATTTCAATTTGGTCCCTAACATTTACCCCTTATTTGTAGATTGGTCCCCAAAATTTTTTATTGACATTTAAATACCCAACCAGCCAACCTTCTTATTTATATTGGACAGTAGAATGCAAAATTGCAAATGAACTTTCCGCTAATAGCTGTTTACACTCACAAATGACTATATTAACTTTTATTTTTAAAAAAAAAAATAAAAGTCGTATTTCTTTGCTAAAAGAAAAGAAAAAACCAAAAAATAAGGATTGCACGATACATGAGTGCATTTAGAATTAATTTTTACTTATCTTTAAAAATATTTTTACACGTTTTTTGAGACACGAAAATAAAAAGGTATGTAAATCGTATTTGTTTAACAAATATTTTAAAAATAAAAATAAAAAACATAAAAAATAATTTTTATGAATGAATTAAAAAAACGGTTAAAAGTTATTTTTTTAATTTTTATTTTTTAATACTCAATAATAATATTATAATATATTAATTAATAATTATAATCCACTACGATTTTATTTTTTTATTATATTTAAAATAATTTTTTTAAAAATCAATCAAATGTCTTTTTAAAATAATCTCATTTTTATTTTTTATTAAAAATAAAATCATTTTAATGCGTTTTTTGTTTTTTTCTCACTCCCCCAACAGTCACAAGTACTTCTAGCCGTCGGATGAGCCAGACAACAATCAAGATAAGCCAAAGATCACCTGAGATTCATTTTATGCGTTGACCGATCGTCGTCCACAGAAAACGTATAAAACGCCGCCGTTTACTTGAGTCGTCATTCGTCACAGACATCGTTTAACATGAAAAATACCAGTTTCTCGCCAAAGGCCTAATCGTTCTCTGTCTCCTTCTCTCTCTTCCTCGAAAACCGGGAGAAAATCTCTTCGCTTCTCTCCCCTCGAAGAAGACCTTTCTCGGTTTTCCCTTTCAATGGCGGCCTCCGATCGATTCTCCGTCCTCGCGATCCTTTTCCTCTTCTTCCTCGGCCAAATCCCCAATGCTTTGCCCCAAAGCATCATCCAAATCTCGCCGAGGAACCACCGCGTCTCCGACCAAGACCTCCTCTACTGCGACAGCTGGAGATTCTCCGTCGAGACCAACGACGCCGGATTCTGGCCCACCATCCCCAAGAGGTGCGAAAACTACGTCGAGAACTACGTCACCGGCGATCGCTACCGCTCCGATTCCGAGTTCGTCGCCGGCGACTCTCTCGCCTTCGTTAGGTCTCTGCAGATGAACGACGACGGGAAGGACGCTTGGATTTTCGACATCGACGAGACTCTTCTCTCCAATTTGCCCTATTACGAGGCTCACGGATTTGGGTAAGCTCGAGAACGATTTCTAGCCGTTAAATTGTTTTGCTATATAATGTCGAATTATTTTGGAAAAGTATTTGTCGTGATGCGAATTTGCTGTCTAAGGGATGGTCCATGTGATTGAACCGCCATTGGTAAATTGAAAGGACCAATCAAAGCTTGACGCGATGAAATGTCGCTTAGGAGAAATAGTGTTGTGATGGTGATTTTTAGTTTATGATTTTGAAAACCAATTATTGGGTGCGTACAAGATTACTTTTTTTTTTTATGTTTTCTCTTTTGCCATTTTGACGTTGTAAGAAAGTTAAACTCAGTGAACGTTTATGATTCAGAATAATAATTTAAAATTATTTTTAATTTATTAGTATTTTTTATGAGAAAAATATTAAAATGAACAGTGAATTATAATCCGAACTATGACACGAATCTTTATTCCAAACACAACATTAAAGATAGGACCATAAAACTTGATTGTTTCCTCGTTTAGTAAAGATTCTTTGTGCATTGTGGATGTAAGATAAAAATGTTGTTTGCTTCAAATCCTAGAATAACCACTTGGATTTGGATCTTCATATGATGTTTGTTTAGTCCCAGCTAGATTCTCCTATGATTTGGAGTTATGTGCATTTTAACTCTTGGAAAAGTTGGGTTACGTCTTTGTTTGTTTTATGGACTTTGATAGTTACTTTACTTCATGGATGTTGATTTCAGACTTTTAACAAATACAACAACAATAAATCTTAATCCCAATTTAATTGGAGTCGGCTATATGAATTTCACTTTTCCGCGCAGCTCTATTTGAAATTAGACTTTCCTGAAGACTTAGATGTAGAATGTCATTTCTAACTACTTCGGTCCACGTAATTCTTGGTCTACCCCTCATTCTCCTAGTATTAGGTATAAAAATATCATCCCAAACACGAACTGATGCTTCTAGCGGTTTACGTTGGACATGCCCGTACCACTTCAAGCGGTTTTTCTGCACCTTATCTTCTATTGGTACTACACATATTTTACTACGAATAACTTCATTTTTTATGCGATCAATTTTCGTATGGCCACTCATCCATCTTAACATACGCATTTCTGTCATACTCATCTTAAATATATGTTGTCTCGTAATGGTCAAACATTCACTATCATATAACATAATTGGACGGATTGCAGTCCTATAGAACATCAAAACATATTGTCATCACATAAAACTCCCCGTAGCATTCTTCCACTTAACCCACCCTGCTTTAATCCTACGTTGAATATTCTCCTCTATATCTCCTTCGTACTGCTAATAGGAGTTGACTACTTAGTTGAAGATGATTTTAGTCCAAGAAATTATATGAACTCATTTTGCAGCCGGGTTATACGGCTTTCACAGTTTTAGTGATTTTAATTGCACATCATCTTACTGTTGAGTGCTTTATCTAAGAGCAGAGAGTGCTATAATGAAAATTTTGGGTTTAATTCAAAGTCGTTCATTTTTTTTTATGATGCAAAATTGGGCTTGTTTTGATGTTCCTTTTACAGAGTACATCATTTCTCCAAGCTGTTTTGATCAAACAAAACATTTTAGACTAAATTTGTCGGATCAAAGTTACTAAAACCTATCTTCTTTTCTAAATAGAGCGGAAGTCTTTGACGAAACACCTTTCGATGATTGGGTGGATTTGGCTGAGGCCCCTGCTCTGGCAGCGAGTTTAAGCTTATACAACGAACTAGAACAGTTGGGGTTCAAGATTTTTCTTTTAACTGGGCGGAGTGAGTATCAAAGGAATGCGACAGAGAAAAACCTTCTTTATTCAGGCTACAAAAACTGGGAGAGGCTGATATTAAGGTACATAAGATAATATATACATTTCAAAACAACATGATGCGAATTTTTAGCTGTTTATGTATTTTACCAAATCCGTGGCGTTGCTTATTTCTTTGAGCTTGTGATATAGGGGACCTTCAGATCAACACAAACCGGCCATTGTCTACAAATCTGAGAAGAGATCGGAATTAGTAAATGAAGGTTATACCATTCATGGGAGCTCAGGAGATCAATGGAGCGACTTGATGGGTTTTGCAGTAGCCCAGCGATCCTTCAAACTTCCTAATCCGATGTATTATATTGCTTGAGCAGATCACAACCAACATTCTGCATTGGTGTAATATGATTGCTTGACGTTATTCTTTTCAAAAAATTTAACGGCCAAGTCACCTTATTAGCAGTAACTATTCTTTAAGGGGTATCAAGGTCTTATTATAAGGGGGGGAAAAAAGGTTTCCTGATGTAGGTATATTCTGTTACAGGTACGCCTAAATTAAACCGGCCAGGTTAAAACAATGTGAAAAATTATACACAATACACATCACAAGAACAGTTTCACGACACATAACACAGCGAAATATGACCAGTTAGAGTCAAAAAAAGATTAGGAGAAAACAATAATCTCGGTCTTACAGATTCACACATTTTTGGCAATATGCTTATTCTTTTTAAGATTTTCATATTGATGATAAGATATAGTTGGTCCTAGAATTTGGCAAAAAAATCTTAAAGAATCATATGTCCTAAGATTATCATGTGAAGAATAAAATAAATAAAGATTGGTTTCGAATGGAGGACGGATTATAATTTCTAATTTCTAAAGCGTCGTCATAGTTTAGAAACAAAGATTTCTGGGACATCCCGTGATAGAAGCAGACAAACCCATAATAATTCTGTTGTCGCAAGAGAAAGATCCATATAAAACATATTATACAACCCTGGATCGGTCGACATGTGACACTGAGAGTCACATCACATTATCACATTCTCATACAAAAAGTTGCAACATTTAGTAGTCAATAATGTGATTTAAGTATTTCACCTGAATACGAGCAACAACCAAATAAAAAAAAAAAAAAAAAACCTTGCTTAGGTCTCCGCCTCCGGAGATAAAATCATATCAGTTCCATACAAAGGACAAATGAGCTTTTAGGTACTCTTGATGATCCCTTCATATTCCATAAAGAAATTAATTGGGAAGTAGCCCTAAATCATAATTGCTTATAATCAATACCACAACCATTCATGATTCACCCACCTATTTTTTTTTTCTTTTCTTAAAAAACAAAAAGAAAAAGAAAAAAATCTTTCTCATGGTGATGGCGAGCTTGAAGAAACCTTGTCCAGACCTATTGACACTGCCCCACAAACAAGAGGCTTGGCGGCCGGAATCCTCAGACAATTCAAGCTACCACCGGGAATAATCGAGCATTCCGGTTGCGGCCTCTGCATATCCTTCCCGGGAATGCAATTCAGAGAGAAATCAAACCCCACATTCCGGTAAAACAGCTTGCCACATTCCTGGCTAAACCCAGAAAAGAAATTATACGCAACACTCAAATTCACCAAGCTCCTGAGATCACAAACAAGGTCCGGCAAAACCCCGGAAAGCTTGTTGTGAGCCAAGTTTAGAACCTCAATCTCTTGGAGACAAGATATTGTGTCCGGAATATGACCCAACAGAGAATTCGAGCTCAAATCCAGAACTTGAATATCAGTAAAAATGCCAACACCTTGTGGGATACAACCAGTCAACTGATTGTTGAGAAACAAAATCTCCTTAAGTTTAGACCCTCCCATGAACCCGAAACTAATGGGAATATCTCCGCTGAACTTGTTGTTCGCCAAGTTGATAACCGAAGCCTGCGAGTTCCCCAGACTCTGCGGAAGCTCCCCTTGAAACTGATTGTTGTTCAGAAAGATCGCGTCGAGTTTTCTGATGAAGAGTTCGTCGGGAATCGGACCGGAAAAACCGTTGAATCTCAAGTCTAAGTAAATGAGATTCGGGATTTCGAGAACGACATTTGGAAATGGACCTGAGAACTGGTTGTTGCTGAGATCGAGCTCGAGAAGCGACGAGAGGTATTTGAAGGTATCGGGGAGTGTGCCGGAGAAGTTGTTGGAGTTGAGGTGGAGGAGAGAGATGTCGGAGAGGAGAGAGAGTTGGGGGACGAGAGTGCCTTTGAGGTTTGCATGGTTGAGATCAATTCCGGCGACGACGGGGTTCGGTGGGGCCCCCATTTGGGCCTCGGGATCCGCGCAGAACACCCCTCTGTAGGAGCAGACGTCGGAGCCGACCCATGTTTTGAGAATCCCCGATGGGTCTTCAGTTATGGCGGATTTCCATGCCTGTAAAGCAGTGTAAGCGTTTTCTAGCTCTGAAGAACCAGATGGTGCTTTCCCATTGGTGGCTCCTCCTCCTCCTCCGCCACCGCCGCCGATCCAAACGCCTCCTCCTCCGCCGCCGCCACTGCTGCCGACGTTGACCCCAACGCCGACACCGACGCCAACATTGAAAGCTACTGTGTGAGTGAGGAGGAGAAGGAGAGGGAGAAGTACAAGCCAGGTGTTGAGTATTATTGTCTTGATCTTGTTCTTCTCCATTTCTTTCTGGAAAAGAACGGTTGTTTTGATGGTTTTACATGTAAAGTTTTGGGTTTGGGTTGTTCCAAGTGAGGTTGCCAGCATTAATGATGGAAAAATGGTGGGGTTTTTGGTTTTTGGTTTTTTTTTTTTTTTTTTTTTTGAAGTGGTGAGTCTGGTGACTGTTTTAATATGGTGTTTTCAAACCTTTATTTTATTTTTTGAGAGCTTCTTAGTTCTAATATCAGAAAAATAAACTATTTTTTATTTTTTAAATCTTTTCATTAAGGAGACTATTCACCAACAGTGTATGTTTTGAACGTTAAATTTGATTAAAATGAAAAATATGTAAAATTAACATAATTTAATAGAAATTCAACCTTTTAACACAAAAGTCTACCGATAAGATAATATTTTCATATCCCAACATAATATTCTCCTTTATTATTATTTTTTCCTCGTTGAGTTGTACTGTACACTTGTTGACTTGTGAGTGATGTGAAGAACTCAAGATCACGCTGGTCAATAAGTGAAGATCATGCTGAAGAGTTCAGAATCATTAACTAAGATAAAGAAATAACAATAGATATTTTGGAATAGAAATTCTAAAGACACGTGTTTTAACATGTTTTTTAACTCTCACATTATGTCATATTTGCATACCCTTTAATTCTTATATAATTTTTGATGTTATTTGGTAATAAAATGTTCATATTAATGAATATATCCTAGTTAGAAGTTGCAGGCTTGCACGTTTCACCTTTCTTGAATCTTTTTTTTACAATAAAGAAACTTGATAACTATACTTTGATCAAATCCCCAAAATAAATGGAGCGTTTAGTGGCAAGAGAACTTTTGAACTAGTTGGCCGAGTCAGGAAGAATTCTAAAAGGCACTAAAAATAAATAAAATAAAAAAATAAAAAATACTTATTTATTATTTGGGCCTCATTCGTTTTGTTAATTTGAATTTTCAATTTGAGTTGAGATGTGATATTTTTTAAAAGCTTTTAACTGTAGTAAAAAAAATTAAATGTGACATTTTATTATAACTTTTAACTCTAAAAACCTAAAATTAAAAACTAAAATCGGAAATGAACTAGGCCTTGAATTGTTGTTTATAGCTAAATCCATTGTTGCTGCACAATCATATGCAGATTGTGAATGCACCAATGACTAATGGGAAATTTATTTTATCTTACCACATTCTCAAACTAGTTTTCAATCACAAAAAGGATTTGTCTACCTCTTAATATGCAGAGCAGTTATGTTGCTTTCAAGACTATTAAATGCTAAAGGTTTTTGCCTGGATCATTAATCAATTCAGACAGCAGCCTTTCATTTACTTTCCTTTAGGTTCACTTTCATTTGATCCGAAGGTTCATTTCAACCTCAGTAGCTTGAAAAAAAAAAAAAATCTCTAATACGTAAATATATTAATAAGTCAAATTTATATAAAATCAAGTAAAAATTAAAAAATACGTAAAATTAATGATTAAAAAAAGTGTACTAGAGAATCTCTCAAAAAAACAAAAACAAAAAACAAAGATGAGGGGAGAATTTTACGATATAGAAAAAAACTATATCAATAAAACTTTATTTAAAATCATAACCTCTCCACCAGTTTCACGTGATTTTGAACGGATATAACATTTTAGAAACATTTGCTATTTGTGTTTTCTCTTTTTCCCCTGGCACTTAATGTCGTTTTTCTCTTTCAAGTGCCAACTGTCAAACTGTGTCCTAATGATAATTTCTCAGATAATGCAAACAAAAGCCGGTTTAGCTTGTACTGTGATTAGGTAACATTCACTCCGAAGAGGTTAAGTTTGATGAAGCAGCCTATAAGTGAGTAGTGACAGAGTTTCCAACTTATTATTTCACATTAATGAGAAGAAGAGTGCCATACTAAGCACCAGCTGGCTTGGCCTATGAGCTTCGAGAGACCTGACTTTTATTGCCATTTTTCATTAACCAATAGAGAACCCTTTTTTCCCTGTCCTTGTAGCCTGTACAAATCATATTTAATTATTGAACCTTGGCCCTACAATGGGACATATTTGTTAGTTTTGGGAACGATTTTCTCACGGATATTGTATAAAATTTTTTTTAACAAATATTTGAGATACTCTATAAAATTCATTAATTTATGCACTAATAAATTAATCAAATTAATTTATGAATAAATTTATCTAGCGAATGATTATGTCAATAACTTAAGATTTTTTATCACGAACATTAATCGCTCCAAAGGAATAGGAATAGTGCTCGGCGACTTCACAAGAGTCCTGTGAAGAGGGAGAAGATTGTAATATAAAGGAATAGGAAGGAGGAAGAGTAAGAGGGAAAACCCCAAACAATGGAAACTCCTACTCAACCAGAACCCGCTAGGTTATCCTCATCTATTTCTATCCCCAATCTTTGTAAAAGATCTCTCTCCTCTAGAATAGAAAACTTAGTCGAATACTCTTATATACAAGAAACCGCCATAGTAAAAGAGTCAGTCCCTCCTTTGTTAAGCCCATATAATGTTTTCAAAAGACATAGTCGTACTATTAGGCAACTTATCTCTAGTAATAGACCTACCATTAAAGAATACGTTCAGTCTTCAAAGCTTGATAATTGTCTTATACCCAGCACCTCTCAAGAACAATACATTGATCTTGAGATCCCAAGAGAGCTCATCACCCAGTGGCTTGCTGAAGGCCATACGCATCTCCACTTTGGGGCAATCAGGCTTATTCTAACCCTTCATGGCAGAAAAGGTCTACCTGTTACTGTTCGTCTGGCCCTCCTAGACACTCGGTATACCAAGTACGAACATGTTGTAATAGGAACCACGCTTTCCACCCTCCATGCTGGTAGTGTTCTACTAACCATTTTCCCAAACTTCAATATACCTCTAAAGGATCCAAACTTGACCACATGTCTCAAAGTCCAACTCCAGATCATAGGTGCAGAACAAGTCCCATCCTCATATATAGCCATTCTCCATCATCAGCTCATTTACAGATTACAAAATCATGCACTCAATCTCCCTGTTCCAGGTCACACACCAGACACTCTGCTAATCATAGCAGAAAGAGAAAATGAGATCCCAACCATTGTGCAGATCCCCAAGCAGCTCTCCGGAGAAGAAATCACAAAGCTAATGCCTCTAGAATGGTTCACCAACTATGAAAAGTTGCACCAGAACCAGAAGCCCATTCATACAACAGATCCAACATTCATCCGGTTTGAAGATGGACAGGTAAAAACTGTCTTCAAACTTCCTGATGAAAACTCCAGCGCAACTCCGTCCCTAATGATCAAACCAATTGCTACAGAAGAAGACGTCCCTCTCGCCTGCTTCACAGCAGACGGATCTAAGATCTTCACAAATAAAGTTGATGGTCAATTCATATGGGATTCTGATCCCTCTATGTGTAACCCAGACTGCGACTGCTGGATGGATCTCGAAGAAGAGGAAGACGATCGTCTATGTACCTCTCTCTCTCTCTCTCATCCAATAGGGCCGGTTACCACAGAAAAATACCCTCTGTGGTTGGCGCAAATTACAGACAGGGAAATTTGGGAAAGAGAAAAAATTATCCTTTATCCTGTGGTCTAATTTTGACTCAAATTCAAATTCCAATTAGAGTCAAACTTAATTTAATTTGAATTTCAATTGGACAACTTATCAAATAAGTCAATTAGATAACTTAAAGAGCAAGCAACTGAATTCCCGAGTGATTATCACAGTGCTGGACGTGTACACCATGCGGACTCTTTCACATGTGTGTTCTAAAATTCAAAAATAATCACATTATTTAATTTATAATTAATTATCAATTAATTATTCTTGAGCGTTCTATTTAGAATTTCATAATTCTAACATTTTCATTTTGCCCTTAGTGTCTTATAAGATTACAAGGATGACGCGGGGACTCATGGACCTATAATTCCAAGCTATAATCAAATTAATAATTAATTAAAACTCTTTAGTTAATTAATTCTAAAAGTTACTTCATTATAAATTTGGGATTGCACTCTTATAATTATAGATATAATTTACTTCTAAACTATAAAGTGTCCATTTGATATAGTCATTACATATAGATCAATTATCCATAAATAATTCATAATTAGAGCTAGGTGAAATTCGTTAACCTCTCTAGTTACATCTTTATTCTTGAGTACTATTGATTATCTACTGGACAGTGACTCATAAAACAAATTCATGAATCGGAGTTCCTACTAGTCTAAGTATCGAATCAATCCTTAAGAGAATTATTTATCTACTTATTTCTCAAGAAGGAATGGATTCCATCTCGTATATTAACATTCCCGGTTACTTACTTCAACATGTCTCCAAAATACAAGGAATATAATTCAACATCTCGGAATCAGTACCGAGTGAATCAAAAAATACAAATTCATAAATAAAAGTCTGCTAATAACTCAAGATTAAGATCATTTTATATATGACTATCGGTAGACTTAATTAGAATTTCTATATTTAACAGAAATTATCAGAAATTTATATTGTGTCTGTGTCAATCTCATCATGTGTAATATACTCATTCAATATCTCATCATATTTACAGTGCGGATAACACCATTCCATTCTAAATGGGAATGGCAAGTATTAGTAATGTTTTAGTTAAAGATTCCAAACTTTCATTAAATTCATTACGAACATCATTTTGATTATTATCCTTAAATATTATATTCTCTCATATAATACTTATATACAATATTTAAGGTCACATAAATAATCATTGAATTTTTAATGATATTCATACAATTTTTAATAATATATGCACATAAAATAATGAATAAATTCTTTTATTAAATAAATAATAATTATCCTATTACATCTTATGTTTTTAGAACAATATTCCTAACAATATTTGCTTTTGCCCAATTTTTAAGCAATGAAAACTGATGCTACAATTATAGGATCCTCAATAATATAACCCTCACTTTGTTAGGTTTTAGTATGTTATTGTTAATCTAATCTCTTGCATTATGTTAGAGACTTGAGTTTGAATTTCACTTTCACTTGGAAGGCTATCTCCTGTTTTGCAACCTATTAATCCAAAATACCTCCAACGTGGTAGCCTAGTAGGGCTTGACTTAAGAATAAGGTGGTTTGGTAGGCGAGAAGTTTTAGGTTCGAGCCCCAGCTCTCG